TAAAAAAGGTCTGAAAGTCATAAAGAACTTAGATCCTTATGTGAATAATATGGTTTTGAGAAAATCATTCATCCATCCTCAAGAATGAAAAAGAAAAATATTCCTTCTTATTTAAGTAAAAGATCTTATCAAAAACATTGATTTTTCCAAAAACAATAATCTTTTGATCAAAATTGTTCTTCTAAATATTCAAAACGAAAAAATTTTAGGAAACAAACTCTCAAAACTTCAAACGTTACTCGTTGGAAATGTAATCAAACAGGCAATTATTCAAACAAATGTCCTATGAAGGAAAAGATTAATAATCTTCAAATTGATGAAGATATTAAACTTGAACTTTTAAATCTAATAAATTATAGTTCAGAAGAAGAATCTGTCTCTAAACTTGAAATTGTTTATCAACATCAAGAAGACTCCAATAGTGAGATAAGCTCAAAATCATCTGATTCTAATACAAGTAAATGTAAAGAAGTTTGTGGTTGTAAGCCCATAAATGTTCTTACTAAAGAAGAAGAGCTTATTGAAGATATAATTGAAATCCTCAATTAAAGAAAAGGTTATTTCTTCTTCTTCCAAATTCCCCACTATCTCGGGTAACTCTGTTTAATATAAAAAAACATATTAAATCGATTTAATACTGAAAGTTCATCTTCTTCAAAAGTCTCATATTCTGAATTATGTTAAGAGATTAATGAAATGAAATCTCAAGTTTCTATCTTGGAATGTCAAATGAAAGATGTTCGTATAAAAGTTGCTCTCTTGAAAACCAAAAGTTTGGAACAAGATATATCTTCTAATTCCTCTTCTGACAAAGATACTCTCGCAACTTCTCATGAAATTTTTCAAACAGTGGAAGGAAAATTTAATAATGTTATCAATCGTACTCAACTTCAAAAATAGTACTACAATATGGCTATTGTGGTCAATAAAGAACTCAAACTCACTACTAGAGTCTTGATTGATTCTGATACTCATCAAAATTACATTAGGGAAGGTCTTATCCCTACAAAATATTTTAAAAAAACTATTGAACGTCTTTATGGCGCTAGCGGCAAAAAACTTAATATTCAATATAATCTTTCAAAAGCTCATATTTGCAATTCAAATATTTGTTTCAAAAATATTTTTTTATTTAGTCAAAGATTCAGACCAATAAATAATTCTTGAAACTCCTTCTATTGTTCAAATTTATCATTTTCAACCTAATTCAAAAGGAATTACCACTAATATTTTTAACCAAGAAATATTTTTTAAGTTTACAAATTCTCTTTTTTATAAAGATGTTAATTCTTTAAAAGAAGCATCTATTTAAAAAATTATTAATAATGTCAATTTTAAGGAAAAACATGTTCAATTTCTCAAGAAGTTAAATTTCAAATAATTGAAGAGCAATTACAAAATTCTTTAATAAAAGAAAAAAATTCAAATTTTAAAAAACAAATGGAAAATGAAATATGTTCTACCATTCCAAATGATTTTTAGGATAGAAAGAAACATGTTTCACTTTCTTAAAATTCAGATTTTCATGAGTCAAGTATTCTTACGAAATCACGTCCGATTCAAATGAACAAAGAATTGTTTGATCACTGCATCAAGAAATTCAATGATTTACTTGATCAATGATTGATATGTCCAAGTAAACCTCTTTGGAGTTGTTCAGCTTTTTACGTTAATAACTTTGTTGAAATTGAACGAGGGGTTTCCTGTCTCGTTATTAATTATAAGCCATTCAATAAAGCTCTTTAATGGATTAGACATTCATTACCTCAAAACAAATATCTGTTGAACACATTATTCAAAGTTGTTATCTTTTCTAAATTTGATATGGAAGTCAGATTTTGGCAAATTCAAATTAAAGAAGAAGATAGATACAAAATTGATTTCAATGTTCCTTTTGGACAATATGAATGGAATGTTATGTCATTCGGTTTCAAAAATGCCCCTTCAGAATTTCAAAAAATTATGAATGGTATTTTCAATCCTTATTCAAACTTTATTATTGTTTATATTGATGAAGTTCTAATTTTTTCAAAAAGTTTAGAACAATATTTTAAACATCTGAATACATTCATTCATATCATTAAGAATAATGGTTTAGCTGTTTCCACTAAGAAAATTGTTCTCTGTGAAAGACGTATAAGGTTCTTAGGTCATTACATGCATTTAGGAACACTTACACCTATTTAAAGAAGTCCAAAATTCACTAATAAATTTTCAGATGAAATTCTAGATAAAACAAGTTTGCAGCGCTTTCCAAAGCATACTTTAGCAATCCAAAATGTCAAAAAAGCCGTCAAAAGCATCCCATGCTTATCAATTATTGATCCACTTGCATCCATTATTGTTGAGATAGATGTGTCTGACATAGGATATTGTGGAGTTTTAAAGCAGATTCCATAAGAGTCTAATGAAGAATAGTTAGTTAGTGATAGATGTGTCTGACATAGGATATTGTGAAGTTTTAAAGCAAATTCCATAAGAGTCTAATGAAGAACAGTTGGTTAGTTTTCACTCAAGTGTGTGGATTGGACCCCAAAAGTACTATTCTACTATCAAAAAAGAAATTTTGTCAATAATATTATGTATTTCAAAATTTCAAAATGATTTGATCAATAAAGAATATATTCTAAAAACAAATTGCAAAACTTCAAAAGACGTTTTACAAAAAAGATGTCAAAAATCTCATTTCAAAATAAATTTTTGCAAGATGGCAAGCTATTTTATCTTATTTTGATTTCAAAATAGTATATATAAAAGGAAAATCTAATGTTTTTGCAGATTTCCTCACAAGAGAATTTAGAGAGAAAACTTTCTTAAAATGAAAGTTGTGACAATAATTAGAGAGATTTTCAAATTGTGAGAAATTTTCGATAGAGATTCTTCCTCTGAGAAGATTTAAAAGAAAACTTCAATTCCTCTACTCTCAATTGCAAATTATATTCAAGGTTCAAAGAGATGACAGCAAAGTTCATCCTCTACTTCTCAAAGAACAATACAAGCTTCAAAAACTTTGTCAATTTCTACTTTTCAAAAACCTGGAAATTTTCAAAACAAAGATATTTTCAATTTACCAGAAAATTCATCTTCAAATTCAAAAAAGTTGTTCAACCCGGTTCAGGAAAATTATGTGACGTTAATCCTTGAAAATCTTTTCATTATTTCACTAAACGTATTCATTTACCCATTCTTGAAATGGAAACTTCATGGGTTCATAGGTATTCATTTCTAAATGAATGCCTTCAAAATATTTTCCTTCTCAATTTTATTATATGCCCCAAAATCTTTAAAAAATAAAGGGATTTTTATGAAGTCATCATTATTAAATCAGGATCGGTCATTATAACTCATACTCCAAATCCTCAAAAGTCCAAACAAATTGATTTTTCAAAAATTAGTATTCAAAGGGTATTGTCTTATGAAGATTGAGGACAAAACCCATGGGATGAGAAGAGAATACATTTATCTAAGGATAAAATATTTGAATCTCGTTTCAATTATTTTGACTATCAAAATGCTTGGTATTATTTTTTTCCTTTATACCATTGACTCGCTCCTAGTTTATTCTTTTCAACTAAGCATGCCCTTCAAGTTTTCTGAAACGATTTCAAACTTGTTTCCAATATTTTGGACTTGATGAGATGATTTTACTCGGTCTTACTTGTCAAGGATTCGAACTATTCAAAAAGGAGGCAAAAACATTTTTAAGGCTTCAATAAAATGTTTTATTCCAGTTCGCCTATAATTTCAAGATTTTATTGATCTTTTGCTAGGATTTCAATCTTGTTTAAAATACAAATTTTGAATTTAATGTTAAACATATAATTCAGAGACTCAAAATCAAATGGTAGTTCAAATTTTATGAAACAAATTGTTGTCCAAAAATTGTTGTTTCATGGATTTAAGAACAAAAGAACGTTGATATTCCAAAACTTTCAAAGAAAGAATAAGAAAAGCAAACTGATTTTCTTACAAAAAAATTCAAGATTATTAGCTATGTTTTTTCAATGCAAGATGCCAGAAGAATTAGCAGTTGTTTTTGAGAAAATCAAAAAATAGCTTCTTTAGCATGATCTACCTCAAAGAAATCAAAGTCATGTTCTTCTCAAACAAAATTAGATTCAGAAAACTGACTATGCTCAAAGTAATGAGGAATGATACTTGGGTATGGATATTGATGAATTAATAAATCAAAAAAAATGATTATATGAACCCAGTTTTTTTGATGAGTTCAGACAATTCAAGAAATCATTTCAATTATGACTCCCACCTCAAAAATTATTTCTACCAGTTTTACCATCATTCAAAGTAAAAGACAAGATTAATAATATCAAGAAACTTTAATAAAAGAAATTCTATTTTAACAATTTTATTAAAGCTGCTTTATGAGAAGTTAAAACATTATTGTCCTTTACGAGCTGCTGAATATTATTTCAAATTTGAGAAATGACATTTTCAAGTCTATTGAAGATTCTTTCAAAAGAATTCAATGAAGACTTCAAGTCCGAAATTTCAAGTATAAATCAAGTTCAAGTAAGAAGTTCTTCTCAAAAGTTTTTTAACGGGAGAAAAAACTTTTTCAAGAAATTTAGAAATATTCGTTGTAATTTCTAATTTTCTTTACAAAAATTTGTATTCAAAATCTTGCAATTTCAATTTAATCTTCAATATATTTAATTTCCATCAAAAGTCTGTTTGGTTTCATTTTCAAGTTCTATTTTTTCCTACTACCTTGTCCCCTGGGCCATTTATGTATATAAGAAAAACATGATACGAATGAATATATATATTCAAAACATAAGAAAGAAACCATTAACAACACAGTTTATTGTTTAATGTAAAACAAAGCCTTTTGTCACCACACTGGAACAATCCTTTCCCTTGCAGGAACCATAAAATGCAACAAACAAGCTCAATTGTCTCATCTTTTGAAAAAGTAATCTAAATGCATTACTTATAATTAAGTATATAAACCATTATTTGGAAAATCTCGGCTCGTAAAATTACGACTGTGCATAACGTACACAAATACGTTGCTGGATCGGGCTCCTACAAGAGGGGCATTCCTTCATTCCCTGCTTCTCGTGAAGCTCGTTGCACAATGTACAAACCACTTGATGTGCACACGGAAGGAAAACTACCGACATCTCCTCTGATAGACACATCACACACTCTCGTTCACGTTTCACACCTTCATTCCCTCTCAAGCCCTGGAAATCTGTCTCCATAATGTAAGATATAGGGGAATCCATCGAGATACCTCTTCTAAGCGCAGCTATTTTTGACGAGTCTGCAACCAATCTTAGCTTGGAAATTTCTTTTTGAAGCTTGTCAATATCGTCTTTGCATTTCTGGAGATTGTTTTCTGCTTTCGATTTCATCATGTCCTCCTTAGATTTAGCCAAAGCTTCAATCAGCTCTCTTTCTTTTTGAAATAAACTGGCCTGCGTCAGTATTTCTTCCTTCGCCTTTTCTTCCTGTTTCAATCTAGCCTGCAATGCCACAACTTCCCAACATGAACATGCAACAGTCACCAGAAAACCAACAAGTATCACAAGATTACTCCAATTGAAAATGGAAACCAGAGCATTAAGGGCATGTTTAGTAGTACGTGTTAAATAGCACTGTATAGTATTAAGGAACAAAGAGAAGTTAAATTATTGTTTATTATACTGATTAATGCTATCCAATATTGTGCATCTAACACACGCTAAAAGTGCAAACCAGAGCTTTTGTTTTAAAGCCTTATTCTTTCCCTATAATTAGGATCCTCGCCCTTTAGAGATAGGTGCACAACAAAATAAAATACGATTAGTTAACATAATCTGGGTCATACATCTCAGGTTCTAACTTGATCTGTGAGCAAATTTGTTGATGTTTCACAGATGGAGTATGGAAAGTGCCAAACATTGGAACTACTCAGGGAAGAGTATCGAGGATAAGCAAGAACCCGGGACTCGTCAGTCCCTCCCAATGCATTCAAAAGGGTGCAAAAAATCAGAACTACAATTCTTGACTTTATTCTTTCCCTATAAATCAGGATAAGTTTCGTTCTTTTTCTTCAATTAATAAAATATACATTAGAAGTCATTGAATGCATGCTACCAGCATAGCTGTGGAGATGTGTACCCTTTAGGCTTTAGCCCACCTTTAATCCATCAAATGCCAACATGAGGGATTTAAGCATGTTGTCTAGCGTTCACTTCTCTATCAAATGCAGACGAGAAACTTAGCATGCATTCAATAACTCGTATTACATAAAACCGAAGACCGATTCATCACTTAGAGAGATTTAGCAGAAATCTGTGCAGGTTTCATTTCAAGAAATATCACTAATCCAAATAATGTGGCCTCTTAATCAGCCTTATATAGTATTTTGCCAAGTTTGTCAATTTGTACTGCCCATGAGCATGTTTTAGCGTGTCCAATTCGAAAGATTCAGTTCAATTATATTCTTAAATAAATCTAAATGAATAGGTCAGTTAGATAAGTGAAAGCTGAGCCTACCTCTGCTTCATCCTGTACGTCTTTAGCCTGCTGTAATTCCTTTTGCAGCTGCATCAACATGCGCTTTTCAGCAGCAAGCTCCTCTTGAAACATAGTCTTCTGCTTCTCTCGTGACTGTAACTTCATTAGTGTCTGCTTCTCCCTCCCTGATACCTCCTGGCAGCTTGCAGCTGAATCTGCAGCATGTAATTTTGCAGCTTCCATTTCCTGCCTTAGTGTTGTATTCTCAACTTCAAGCCTACGGACAGCAGCACTAGCTCGTTCTACTTGTCCACTAGCCTTAAACAAGGCAATCTCCATCTCCGATAACTTTTTCATGGTGTTTTCCTCCAAAGATTGCTTCTCTTTCTTGAGCCGCTCCACTTCTTCTTTCTCTTGCTTCAGTGTCTTGAGTTCAGCTTTGTCCTTGCCCAGTCTACGAGCAGCTTGCATGACTTTCTGATTTGCCCACTCCGACCACTCCTGGAGCTGATTTTGCAATTCCCGTACTCTTGAAACCAACTTCATAATCGTTTCATCCTTCCCGTCATGTGGAGCCCACTGCCCAACAGACTTTTCATTTGAGAGACCAGCATTAAAATTAAGTGTCTCACTGTTAGGGCTGACAGGCATTGGATTTGAAATGCATTTGGCAGGCAATGAGAGAGAAAGCTCGGTATCGGCTACAGGTAAGGAAGGAGAGGTGTTAACCGGCGCTAAAGGTAACGAGGAGGGGATATTTGATTTAGGCAATGAAGAACTATCAGAGCCAGTTTCCAAACCAAATGTTGGCAGTGAAGTGAATCCTGGGTTTGTTGAAAGATTGTTATTTAAGTTGTCTTCAGGCACATCAACCCCGACTGCCTTACTAGTTTTAGCCGATGTATTTTTAACATCTATACCTGTAGGAATGGCTAAAGGTTTGGGTTTCTCATCCAAGACTAGACCACCAAATCCTGGGACTTTCCCTGCTCTAGACGTCACTTTAGAATCACATGTACGATAGTGTTTCTCGAAGGAAATAGACTTTTGGCGCAATATGTATTGCCTTTTGGTTATTCCAGAAACTTTTCTACTGCCTAAAAACTTCTCCTCCGCAATTGTAGAGCGAGATATTCCTGCTGCACTAAAGGATTTATTACTAGCATTTGATATAGAGTTTTGACACTCCTCCTGAGCAAGTTCGCTACAAACAAAAGAAGTTTTTGGTTTTGAGTTTGGACAATTTGCTAGAATGGGTGCCTGAGATTGAAAGGAATGTCTATCATGAACTGAAGCCACATTAGGTTGTTCAGATGGAAAATTTTGAGCACAAGGAAATGAAGGATTAGGTTTATATGGAAGTGAAACATTCTGTTCAGAATCTTCGGTCTTGTTTCTTAACGGGGGTTGTACAATAGCAGAGGAATTCTGATTTGAAGTCGCATCACGGCTCAGAGGATCAATATCAATGGCACAAGCGTGTGACACGTTCATGTCACATATCAACAAGCACCACATTGCATCCCCAATACTGAAAAAGGGCCTAAACTCTCTTAGAAGACAAACCAACTCTGCTAATATATACTTCCCCATCTGTTGTAAATCCTCGAAATAATGGTCCATTGACAGATCAACATCTTGGGTACTTCTAAGAAATGCCAGTGTATTATCCACTATATTCGATACTAAGTCTTTACACCCATGGCAAAGTCCAGACCTTAAAATAGCCTTAATAGAAACTTCTTCACTGTAACCACTAGCAATTATTTTCTTAATAGCGCTCTTGAAAATTGTATCCAAGTTGCTCAAAACAAGTTCTTCAAGTTGAGATTCAGTAAGATCACTCCAATCAGCATCATGGAGTTCTTCTGCTGATGACTTTATCTCCTCTCTATGCCAGCTTGGCCCCAAGTCAGAGGTCCCCGTCGCACATGACAATCCAAGGTCAAGTTTCAGAGCATCACATGTATCATACCTGGTTGTAAGCCCACGAGCCGGGAGAACCTCATACCTTTCAGCTGAGAACTCAAAATCGGTGCATTCATTGAGAGGTAAAAGGATGTCCTTATTTGGATCAGCTAGAGGTGGATCAGCCCGGAATTTTCTCTTATTCCTACTCACTTTCTCTTGGACCATCATGGTTGGCACTTGATTGAAAGTATTGCCACAAGCCTCTGATACCATTGATGCCATCTCTAAACTGCATAAGAATATTTTTCAGCACTATTCCAAATTGGATAAACTTCATCTTAGACATCTGAACTCATTGCATATTTTAAACATTCACATTAAAGATATAAACATGAATTCAATGAATTAAAACTAATCATCAGAAAAATCAAAAACATCAAAATACGAGTTAAAAGGAATAATATAATTGCCATTTATTGACACGATCAATATGATATGAATCTAAATCGAGAATAAAAATTAAATAGGAAACAATCAAATTGTAGGACACTTGCACCATGTTCAGTAAGCAGTAAGAGATGGATTGAGCAGTATTATGAACAAGATTTGAGCTTCTCTTTTTTCCTTTAGTGCTGTGTATCTTATACAGTACTGAGTGAATGCACGTATAGCATACCAATGGTTCACAAGAATCCAAACATTAAAAACGAATAGGACGCTCGAAGCATACCACCGAGTTCAAAATTAAAGATACCAACTGTTACACCACTTTCAAACAAGAGCAACCAGAGCTGCTAGCGCAGTCATTAAATGGTAAAGGTCAAGCAAGCCCAATGATGCGTCCTAAGCAAGCTCAGTGTCAGTCATAAATTATAGACTTCGACATAAATAAAGGCAAAACCCGGCATTTTGGGTTTACTAAAACAGTGGTTATCAGTAACCACATGTAATTCTCTACCAAGACACGCGTATGCCCGACAGATTCCTCCCGCTCAACCCATCAACCATAAATGCGCAACGGGCATGTCGGTTCCTGTGGATTCAGTTCAATCATTGAAGGCAACGACCACAAAGATTTATAAATAGAACTAGGTACTTCTGGCAACCGGATATACAAAGGCAAAAACAAAAACAAAAACACACTTCTCAATTACTCACTCTCACTCTGATTCAACTTCTTTCATCAAATTATCATTGACTTCTGTTCGGTCGAAACCATCCCTTCTTGGTACCTACCCGACTGATTTTTATTTTTATTTTTATTTTTATTTTCAGAAACTAAACCAGTTCATGTCTTATTAACCCAGGATTCTGCTATCAACTCCAACAAAATTTAACCAAATTCTACATCCAAGAACAGGCACGATCATTCTTCTAAAAGCAATCAAGAAATAGAAATTCAACAATCAATGCAGATTAAGTCCATTAAAACTTTCTAGTCAAATTCAATAGACAGATCAAGATAACTAAAATTAAAAAAGCCCACATGATTTAATCGAAAAAAGACTCTATCTTCACAATTCTGTTAACAATCCCAGAAGGCAGTGATGCATCAGTAACTCTTGCAATAATTACATGATCGATTCATACCAGATTTGGGCCTATGATTTTCAAGCAATCAAAGGTTGAACAAATCTAAGCACATCGGAGGTAAGTGCAGAGAGATTGTGTAAAGTTGGGTTTTCTATCTCTCAATTTTGTTTATAATTTAATAAATTCTCACGTTTTAGAAATTAGAACATTGAATTTCTCTCCCTCTCTCTTTCCTCTCACCCTCTTCTTATTATTCTAATTTTTGAGGGAATAGTTTTTTTTTTTTTTTTTTTCTGTCTTTTTGTGTTGAACCGTTGAATTACATGCCTTGCGCAAAAAATAAAAAATAATAAATTATGTGCTATATGCTTACGTGTCAGCAACTCACCCACCCCCGCCATTTGGGTCAAGGGGGGTATAATTGGAATTTCGTGTGTGTGAGAGAGGTGTATGTGTTTATAAAATAATCTATTATTCAGTTGTTTTATTTTTACTTTTTTCCTTCGGAAGAAAAGCGACATAATTAATTTGCATTATGCACATTTTTGGTTTTCATTTTTCCTGTGTTGACCACTGTAGAACATGACGTGACTTCTGAGTTTTAACCATTCATGGTGTGCTTCCCACAAATGGAATGATGGGAGGTTGAAGAGTTGGACACTTCTAAAATGTCACAAAACAAAATTATATGACGTTTGATAATTTTGTAATTCTATCTTTAGATTGGAGTTCTCCTTTCTTCCTTGTAAAGGCTAAAGCTCTTGAGAACTAGGTTAAAGTATCGTGAGTAATTTTCTGAATCTATTTTGGTCTTTATATATTATTTGCCAACAGATTTCGACGTTTCATATTTTAAAGTAGTTGTGTTTTCAATTCAATGTAATTATTAAGTTGATGAAACTTGGTGCTTGTTTGAGCTCCATTTTCAATCTAAGAATGTGTTTTCGAATAGTAGATTGATAGAGAATGTAAAGTTAAAAAATAAGGAAAATTTTTGAATTTGCAGGTAATATTATTTTATTGAAAAATATGTGATTGAAAAGAACAGAGTGAACAATGTCTTTGAAAATAATGAGAATTAAACAAGAGCTTAATTGGAAATGCATAAATGACTCTAATACCCTTGATCAACAATAGACGGATGTATGATTTGTTGTCGGGTTAGTTAACTTGAAGGTGGTTCATTGCCCTTGCTCTTTCCTTTTTTGATAGCCTTCAAAATTTAGTGTTAAAGTGATTCAAAAAAATATAGTAATATTATTCGTTACTAGTTGTGATCATTATCTCTTTAAAAAATGGTGACATTAAATCACTGATTCATCAATAGTTGTGACCGTTATTAATCTAGATGGTAGTGTGCCATTTGATTAATGTATTAGACAACAATGAATCAAGATACCTATTGTTAGCATTATTTAGAATGGTGAATCTGAAAATTATTGAACAATAATGAATCAAGATGCCTACTGTTACCATTATCTAGAATGGTGAATCTGAAAATTATCACAACTAATAATAAATATCATCGCTGAAAAGCTTATGAGAGGAGGGTGGCTAAGCACCTCATTCATGCCAATCATGCTATAATCACCTCTATACCAATTTAGGTGACAATTGCTCTCACCTTCATATTTATTGGTGATATATTCATGGAAACTTGGAGCATGTGTTGGGAAATTATCGTGTATCTATTATGAACATTTGTGTATATAAAAATATAAATACACCTTATTTATTATTTGGCTTTTTTCCTTTCTAAATTAGTTACTCCCTCGGTCCCTCCGTCTTATTTATATATGTTGGTTTTTTTTCACACGGATTAAGAAATTTTATTTAATGTTATTGGAAAAATATTTTTTGCCAAAAGCTTTCCTAATTTACTTTTACTTAATTATCTTAAATTATTATTGAAAGTAGTAAGTAAATAAATGTATATTAGTAAATAAACAGAACAAAACATTCTCAATATATAAATAAATAAGACTATACAATTAGGACAAAAAATAAAAAAAGCCAGCTAATATAAATGGCACGAAAGAAGTATTAAAATAATTAAATTAAAAAAAAAAAAAAAATCTGCCACCCCTACTTCAAATTTGAGACAAATGGGAGGAAAAGATCGACTCATTTGATGACTTTCGCGACAAACCAAAAGTCAGACATGCTTCTCAGCCTGCAGCTGACTACTTATCAAATGACGACATCTATTAACTCGTTAAACACGAATAGCCTAAGCGTCACCCCGAAATCAATTTCAATAGCCCGCAAGAAATAGAAAGGAGAAAGCCCATCTCTCATCCTACCCCCACCAAAATATTCATCTTCCAGAACATCGTCACCCAGCCACCCCACATCCAAACCAAATCAAAACCAAAAAATCCACCGCCGTCCTTTGCCCTTCCACCACCCACCGACGACTCCAACCCCGTAAAGCTCCTTTGGAAGTGCCCAACTGAAAACTCCCAGCAAAGGTGTTCCTCTTTTCCCAAAATAAAGCGATTGGAATTGGTTTTCTCCAAACATTAGGCGTTTGTTCTCATTTTCCCAGAGGAGCTATATATATATATATAAAGGTTAGTTTTTTTTTTTTTTTTTTTTTTTTTTTAAAAAAAAAGAAAAAGTAACAAAAATAATTAAATAATTGTTACAAATTATNTGGCTTCTTTAATTTATTTGCAATTTTGTTGGTTTCCTCCTTGGTATGAGTCAGTTTTCGAAGTGAGATTAAAACTTCTTGTTCAGAATCTTTACAACTTCTCGGTTTGATAATGAATCCTTCATCTTCCAGTCAGTTAGAGTTTAAGATTTCCATATCTGAGGAAGAGGATGATGAATAACAAGCGGGTCGAGTTTTTAGCGGCGAGGGAGTGGGGAACCCGTTTCTGGGCGTCACCGATTCTTCCTAACTAGTTAGCGGCACCTGATTTGGTGTCCGAGTCAACTTCGTGTCGTTCTCCACCCTATTAGGGTGAATTAGGGCGCGTTCGATACAGATTAAAATCGGATTAAAATTGAAATACTAGTCGTTATTGTTGACTTTTATCAGACGTGTGGGACCAATAACGACCATATTTTCAGTTTTAATTGAATTTTAATCGAAAACAAACATGCTCTTAATGTAGTGACGAGTTTCCCGCCGGTAAAAATCAATTGGTTTATTTGTGTCAGGCACCAATTGAAGATGGTGGACTTAAGTGAGAGGTTGGGTATGATGGTGGAGAAATCAGGGCTGGAGTCACCAGTGAGTGGTAGGCTGGTGGTGGATTTTTTGGTATTGGTTTTAGGCTAGAGAAAACTCTCGAAGCAAACCGACATAATCAGACCCGAATCGAACCTAACGATTTTTTTAAAATTAAATACCCGAACATATATTTGAATCGAAAATCGTCCTTCTGGAGAAATCGAATTAGAAGTCTTTCTTTATTATTGTAAGCTCATTATCTTCATCTCTCTTTAATTTTAACAGCCAAATCTATGAATAACTCAATAAAGAGAGGCACAAAATATATTACGGGATTAAACTACGTTATTTTGTAAGAGGTAGAACATGTCATTAGTTAAATTAATGTAGCGTTGTTGTAAATATTGAAAAATTTAATTATTGTACGGACCCAAGAAACGAATGGAGCCGAACTGAATGGAATTGAACCGGACTCAACAGTTTCACTTACTAAATAATCGAATCGGACTATGTCTAGCCCTAATTGTTTTGGTTTGGGGTTGGGGTGTTGAAGAAGATGAAGATTTTGGCTGGGGGAGGCAAATTTCCATTTTTTTTTTTTTAAGATAATAATTATTTTAATTGTTAATATTTTGGAAAATACAAATTTTCATTTTATCCTTTTAAAATTAGTCAATTTCTTATTTATATGGTCAACTTGACAAAAACTGTTCATTTGTCGTTGCAACTAAATTAATGGTTTGGGACGGTAGGTAGTACAAATAAAAGTTTTGGATAAAGATTACAAAAAAATAAAAATAGACCTGAATGGTTTGGAATCGTAACTGCAATTTTCCTATAAATATATTGACAAGGCTAATAATTTCTTATCGAGCCAAAGTTTTAGCATGAGCTTGAGGTTTTGCAATTTACCAATAGGAGGGCGACCTGTTTTGGGTTGGCATACTTTCGACTAGGGGTGGGCAAAACTCGACCGAACCCGCCCAAACCAAATCAATCCAACTGGGTTGGTCGGTTTTTTTGTTGTCTTTACACGGGTTGGGTTGGGTTGGGTTATGGGTTAACTCAAAAAAACTGAATAAACCCGCCCAACCTAACTCGCCACTTTAAAAAAAAAATTAAAAAAATAAGAGAAAGAAAATGTCTAGAAAAGTAAAGAAACCTAAAAAGTATGAGTAGATAGTAACTATAATTACCTTGGTGTATTTTAGAAGAGGAACTTATTGTTCTTTCCACAAGAATAGATAGTGGAACTCTAATTAACTTGATGCACTTTAGAGAAGTTTACTTTCATTCCCACAAGAAATGTAGTATAAATTTCCCATGTTATGTTAAATGCATTTTGTTCTATGTAGGCTCGGCTAATGAGGATTGAATAAGAGAATAGATAATTTTATTTATTTATTTACTTACTATTTAATCTTGTCTATTCGAATTTAGTGTAATAGAAAATTGGATTACTTTAATTTTTGTTGACAAGTCGTCCCAAATCGAGACCAACCCGATCGATATTTGATTAGGTTGGGTAGGGTTTTTCAACATTTACACAGGTTGGGTTGGGTTGGGTTGGGCTAAATTTTGATCAAATCGATCATATTGGGTTGGGCTTGGGTTGAGGCAAAAACCGACCCGACCCGACCCAACACAACCCACCCATGCCCACCCCTACGTTCGACCTCTTAACAGGCTTCTCGTGTACTATCATTTTAAGTTGGAGCTCATGACTAATGTCTCAATATATGATAAAAGCATGACCATTCTTATGCATGACCTACTAGGACTATCCGATCATAAAATCTTGTTACGTGTCAACTATAATGGGAATGTCCCACTAAGATTCGCCTACATATGGTAGTCCTTGTTGGACTCCTTTATATACTAGGAGCACAATGCAATTGGGTCGCTCTCGATCCAACATGTATCATAGTCCAAACGAGTTCGTCATTAAGGTATATGCATTCCATCCACAAATTATAGTCTTAGGCTCGTATTTTCTGCATACCTCTGGTGGCTCAAGTATTGAAATGGTGACAAGACCATCCCTCGATATCGTGGCCTATAGGAAAACTCTGTTCAAGGTTTAGGTTCCTTATGAATATGATTCAATTTGTGCATCGCCAAATAATATTTTAAATTGCATATACTCTTATTATACAAAAAACATCTCCTTCTCTAAACCGCCAATTTTTCGGTAACCTTCTACCTTGCTAGAATTTTTGTTATTAATGGACAAATTTGAATAGCATACTTTGTGATTTTTTTATTTTCTTAATGAAAAGTAACTATTTCTGACGGAATAATATCAAAGACATTATATGATAGGTTCAACTAAAGGTGAAATTATATGATTGATTTAATTACATCTTTCATTTAATAACAATTAGCATCTACTGAATAGCATTACTCTTTTTAAAATAGTCACGCCTTCGTATTCTCAGCCGCGGTACTCACAAAAAAGCTTCCATTGACTCGTTGAAAGAGGCGGCCCAACGAGCATGGATGCACCACATCATTCAAGCCCGAACCCAGCTCAAGCATCGCCGCCCCGGCCGCCGCCGCCGCCGCAGCTCCACCAGAGCGATATGGAGGAAGACGACGAAACAGTTAAGCAGCTGAAAGAATGCTCTTCTTTCTACTTAGCACTACAGGTATATACTTGTATGTGTTATATAGACACACACAATCGCATGGCATTATTTTTTTCTATAAACCCTAAACCCTGATAATCCTATCAATTTACATTGCAGGACTGCCTAATCAAAACAAACAGGAATTGGAAATCATGCCAATCGGGTAATTTCTTTGTAATCCCAACTGTTCATATCTGTATTTATTTTTAATCCCCAATTACTCTACCCTAATTTATTTTCCCCAAACTGTTTAGAAACATTACTAATTTTATTTTTTAGAAAAGAAACTTACTTATTTTTTGCCTAGAAAAGAAATTACTTATCTTTGTCGACACATGAATTATTATTAGCATTTTATGTTTATGCATTTTGTTTCAATTTTCTGCTCTATTTATTCTTTTTTGGATCGGTTCATGCTGAAATGTCACGTTCTCTCGATAGTATATTAGCTGTTGATCTAGATTTTGAATCCTTTCTACCGTTTGTTTTGCAACATTTGTTTTGTTTTTTTTTTAAATACAGAAGTTCAAGCTCTGAAAGAATGCAATGACAGAAGAAAGAAGGACAAGATGAATTGAGAAAATAAGCTGTGAAAGTGATAGTTAAGAAATTGATGTAAACATTTTCACAAGTCCGAACTTAAATTTTCGGCATTTTATCTGTGGTTACACGTATTCATCATAGTTAGCCGTTCCAGTTCAGTAGGAAGTCCGAATAAGATTGAGAAGTTCAATCGCTTGAAACCAATCTTAATGATTTGTTATGATGCAGAGTTCTATTAATTGTTAGCTCCAAATTTTTTAATGGGATCAAAGCACTCTTTAAGTAATTCAGTTGACAAAACTCATATGTTCCTTTCATTACCATACTTTTGAACAAGTTTGTCTGAGTACCAAATGTACATTTTTGTGTACTGAAGTGTATTGAGATTGCATTCTGTTATCATATATTGGGTTTTGAAAACTTAACTGTAAGGCTTGAATCAGTTCTGCACCAGATGAACTAGGTATCTTTGTCGCTGGGGCGTCATTGGCCTTGACATATAGGATCCACCATATATAATCACTTACTCATTGTAAAGAGATTCTTAGCTCCTGTTTGGCCCTATTATTTTGCATTTTTGGAGGTTATTTTTAGAATAGTGATTGATGGGAGAATGTGTGGTTGAAACTTTTTTGATTTGTGTGTAATATTATTTTATTTGATGAATGTGTGGTTGAAATGAAGAAAGAGAAAAATTTAATGTAATGTAATTTAATGGGGCCAAATAAGGGCTTAATATCCTTATGACATACTGCTAAGATTTGAACAGTACAAGCAACAATGCAAAAGCAGACAGGACAAGGTTTTACTTGTATAACGACTGCGAAAAATTTCACAGGGAAGCAGAGTTTTCTCCAGGGACGAACTTGACTGAAACACCGTTGACAGTGTCTTTCATCTGTAGGTGTTTGGAACCCTTGTGAATACATGGCTCAAATGACACAAAGTGCAATTATGGATGATGGATCTCGTTGTTGTCGTACTCTCTAGTGCCACGAGGCCTGTAAAATTAAATTGTCAGCTCGTTTTTAGATGACATTGCATTTACAAAAGAGTAATGCTATTCATCATTAATGGTGATGAAAATACAGTTTAGGTGATTTTAAATGATAGGTTAAATGAAATGTGAAATTAAATGACTTATTTTATTTCACCTATCATTTAATGCCACATTAACGTCACGTAGACTGTATTTTCATTTCTAGTGGGGATGAATAGTATTACTCTTTACAAAATTTTAACTTTATTTTCATCTTTCTTATTGTTCGATACCGTGTACTTCGCCTTACCAAATAAGTAACCAGCGTTTAACATAGGGATAATTGCAGCTGTGGTCTCAAACCTATCAATTTTTTGCGCACTTTACCCTA